CCCATCCAGGTCTCCGCTCCCGGCCCACCTCGGTCTCCATCCCGACTCTTAGCTCCCGGTCTCCCGCCCGCCCGGACCCCGACCGGAGCCTGGCCTACTCGGGATCGCGTTCCCGGGCCCCCACGCACCCGGGACCCTGCTTCAGGTCCCCCGCTCACCCGGGGTCCCGCTCTCGGTCCCCTGCCCACTCGGGACCCCGCTCATAGCCCACCCAGGACTTGGCTCTTGGTCTCCTAGGAACCTGCTCCAAGCCCCTTGCCCACCGGGATGCCTGTCCCAACCCCTGGTCCACCCGAGACCCCGCTCCCGGCCCTCTAGGCCCGCGGAGGGCCCCCTGCACCCTAAGCCCTGGATTCCTGCCCCTGGCCCCGCCCCCTCGCTCTCACCCCATCTCCATCCCACTGGGCCATCGGGGGCCTTCTGGGTTTAGCAGCCCCCCGACCTGGACCACATTTCCCTCTTGGTGTCCCCGCACTAACTCTGACGTGTGCCCCGGCCCCCTGGCTTGCTTACTTGAGCCCTGCGTCCCACCCTTTCAGCCGACTGGAAGGTCCCTAGAAAGGGGTTGTGGGGCTGGGGTCACACTGTGAACTGAGGGGCACCTCGAGGCTCTTGGGAAGTGGTGGTCCTAATACAGAGTACTCTCAGGAGGTGGCCAGGGAGCTTGGTTGGTCCGATTGGACCTGGGGCGCCCGGTGTGTGCACCCCAACTTGGGAGAGCAGTAACACTTTGTCTTTCCCAGCTGCTCTGGGGCTCCTGGGGTCCCTCTGGTTGGACTCTGCCCTCAGGTGGAATCCGTGGGAGGGGGGCGGCCTGCGGGCTTCCTGACCAGGGCTTCCCGAGGTGCGGAGGGACCTTGTGAGCATGCGGCTGAAAACTCTTGAAAAGCAGCCTGAAATCAGGTGGATTTCGGAAGTCACCCTAAAGGGGCAGGCTTGTGCCTCCATGCCCTTTTGTCCATTCCCTCTCATAGCCACCCTGTACAGGGTTTCTGAGGAGCGGCTGGTGAGCTTGAACTGCCGACCTTGCAGTTCAGAGCGACTTTTGCAGCACCACACCAGGACCCCTCCCCCGTTTGTCTAAATTTGGCGAAAAGAAAGTACTGGGGATTTCTTGATTTGGTGCAGCCGTGATGGCTTCTGGCGAGTGTTGTTCCTGGGGCGAATCCGGGGTTAGCCCAGTTGCCGTTGTTGCTCTGTGGCCTGGCCCCAATTGAAAGCAGTCAGTTTAAACTGCTGACCTTGCGGTTAGCAGCCGAGCACTTAACCCACTGCGCCATCAGCCGAGGCAGCGATGGTTAGCTTTCTCATTGTTGTGGGGTAAGAGCCTCAAGTCTGCAAACTCAGCTGGGGACTCCTCAGAAACCTGGCGTGTGTTTCCGTAACTTCGCTGACATGAAACGAGTGCTGCTCTGATCACCAATGGCCCTTTCCCATGAGACAGGTGTCCTCCTGCCTGGGGTCTCAGGCACCACTCTCCTGTCTAGGAGAGAAAGGAGAGCAGCCTGAAGCAATGGTGTTTCCAAAGGTCACAATTTTGTGAAAAAGACCAAAAACCGTCTGTCTTCCCTGCCACAGCCAGCCCTCTGTGGTCTGTGTGTCCGTGTCTCTTGCTGTGGTCTTTTGTGACCCAGTTTTTATTTTCTCAAGTAGTAGCTCTCTCAGAAGATGGCTCCTGCCAGTGAGTGAGCCAATGCACTTGTTCTTCAGCCGGAAAAGCCCTGGTTTTGCAAGTGACGTTCCTAACCCAGCCTAGAGAAGCTGTCCCCGTCCAAGTACTAGCGGCTGTGACGCTCCAAAGAGAATCCAGACTCGCTTTATGGTCTCCTTTCCTGGGTTTCTCCATGCGCTTTGTGGTTTTCTTTAGAGTGAGTGCAGCCTGAAAGGCTGGTGTGAGGGACACCTGGTGCTCCCTGCCGGGTTTCAGAGGGGAGCATCAAGGCTCAGGGGGGTTCTGGGCCTGCCTTGGCCTCAGCCCTGCCCCCTGCCTCCAAGCCTGTGCCTCCTGCAGTGTGGCTTTCCCTGGTTTACAGGTCTGGGATGTCCGGGGCTTTCAGCAGGGCTTTCAGTGGTGGCCCAGGGTGGTGTAGGGTTTCCAAGTGACAAGCCACCTCCAGGGATGAACTTGTCTCCGCTGGCCCAGGTCTGGCCAGATTGGCTGAGTGCAGAAGGAAGTGGGCAGGTAGAGAGGCCCCAGGTGGGCTGAGCGCAGGAGGAAGTGGGCAGGAATCAGGGTCCAGAGCCAGTGTGAACGATTCTGTGTATAGAGTGGGCACAAGCTCTCATAGCACTTCAGTTGTTTGTAGCTCCATCCTGGCTCAGCACTGGACTGCAAACCACAAGGTCAGTGGTTCAAGCCCACCAGGTACTCCTCAGAAACCCTATACAGGGTCGCTCTGAGTCAGGACTTCACAAAGGTAGCAGCTCTTCATCCACAGTGTTCAAGACAGAGTACTGCACGTGATCAGGTGTGCACGGGGAAGACCCCGGGTGTGTGGAGGTGAGGCTGGGAAAATGACATGGAAGATACCTATCAGATCTGGGGAGGAACCCCTCTCCTTACCCCCAGATCTGGGCTATTGAGAGGAGAACCTCAGAAGCTTTGTCTCCTAAGCCCGAGGGTCCTGGTAACTATGGTGGTGGTATGACCAAATCCCTACGCACCTGGTGCAGGTCCACAGCCTCGTTCTCATCACCTTATATAACCCTCTCAGCCCCGTGAGGTTGGCTGTGGGGTCTGTGGGGTTCCGTACATGTACGCAATGGGGCTGTTCCCAGAGGGGCCCCCTCCCAACCTGCCCGTGGTGTCCTGTGCTCTCTCCTTAGGCTTGCAGGGACCAGTCCAGTGGAGACAGCCGGCTGGCCAGTTCCAACTGGCCAGCTCCTCTCAGTGTGTACTGCTTGTCTTTAGCCCTGCCATCGAGCGCCTTGCCCTTGGCCAGGAGGGACAGTGTCCCCTTGCTCCCAGGAAGCCAGGCTCTGGAGAAACTGCTGAGGCGGCTGTCGGTGTGAGCACAGGTGCTGGGGAGTCAGCCCCTGAAGGGTGTCTGCTTTGCAGCTGCTGCTCACCACCTGGCCTCACTGCAGGCAGTCTGCAAACTGTCAGTGGTGAGCGAGCGCGTTTCCACAGGTCACCAGAGGGCTAGCGGGCGTTGGGTCCTGCTGATGTGCTGATGGCTCATTGCCAGGGTAACGGAGAAGGGCACTGGCCTTCCTTGCCAACGTGGCCTTTGGCATTTCTACCTGCCCGTCCTTCAGAATGGCAGAGGAAGTCCCAGGAGGGGACCGCCCCCAGCAGCTCACCTTGGCCTTTGTCCAGCAGAGCTAGGCTGGCCTGGTGCAGAGACCTGCCATCTGTACACGCGGCCCACCCCCGGGCCCTCGGTCCCCACTGCGAGGATGGCTGTCCATCACATGTGGGTGGGAGCTGTCACAGTGGTGGTGTGCTGTGAGCGTTGTCCTCTTGTTTCGAGCTCCAGGAACTCCCGTCCCCCTCCCAAGGGCCTCCTACCCCTCCTCCTACCCCTCGCTACAGGATTTGTGGGGGGGAAAGGGCAAAGAGTAGCTGACTCACCTCCCTGCCTGCTGATCTGGCGTCGGGAGGGTAAAGGGAAGAAGCTCAGTTTGGAATGGGTGGGAAGAGGGACTGTGGTCAGCGTGGCCAACTGCAGCCACACACTCTCGTGTGACCTCCCAAGCCACTGGGCTGCCCACGGCCTTGAACTTAAGGGGAGCGGGTCAGGCCGCCACTGTAGCAGCACTAGGTCGTGCAGGGGGTGATCCTGCTGGAAGGGTCTAAGCTGAGGGGGTGGGGGGGAGGAATGATCAGGCGTGTGTGAGTCAGGTCTGACTCAACCATGATGGCAGTATTGGCCACAGGTCTGCCAGCCAGGCCCCTGCTGGTCAGCAAGGGCTACCCTGCCTTGTCCTCTGCAGCACGAGCTCACTGACCAAGGATCGCCAATACTGAGAGGAAAGAGCTGTGGCTCTCAGCCCCCTTTGACCCCTAAAATAATCCCACAAGCCCCACTGCTGCCGAGTTGACTGACTCACAGTGAACTAGAGGGCCAAGCAGAGCCGCTCCTTAGGGTTTTGAGGCGGGTGAGTCTTTACAGGAACACAGAGCCTCATTCTTCCCCATGGGGTGGCTGGTCTCAGGAACTGCCCACCTTTAGGTACGCAGCCAAGCCCTTTAACCACTGCGCCACCAGGGCTTCTAACTGTAAACAGGCGGTTGTGCTTCTTTACTGTGTCCCCCCCCCCCATTGTTGTTGAGTCCCGACCATTAGACACCGTGCAGGACAGTCCACTAGCCCTGAGGGGGCCAAGGTGAGTCTTTCTGTAGTAGGAGCTGCATTTTTCTTCCTCACAGAGGCTGCTTGATTCGAACCTCCACCCTTTCCGTTTAGCAGCCAAGCCCTTTAACCACTGCACTGCCAGACTCCTAGAAGAATAGCTCCTTTTAACTAAGTCTGGTGTGCCGCTGCAGGATAATGGAACACAAGGTCAGTTTGAGCCACAAGGTCGGCAGTTCAAACCCACCAGCTGCTCCTTGGAAACCCTATACAGCGTCGCTATGAGTCGGAACCAACTCGACGGTATTTAACAAGTGTTCTGTATTTCCTAAGTCTCTGGGATACCATCCCCTTGGGTGCCCTTTTACACTTGACTCTGGGGCTCCTGAGGGCAAGTCTTCCCCCTAGAGGCTGAGAAGGTACCTCCAGGTACTCCCTACTCAGCATCTGCCTGCCTCTGTCAGGACTGTAATGAATGTCACACTGGGTTTGCATCTGCTTAGCCAGCTAGTGACACTTCCTCGTGGTGCGTCAGCTCTTCTGGACCGTGCTGAGCTGGCTAGCTTGGCACCTCTGCTAAAGCAGCTTGATAGCAGTTCAACTGCCAACTCTGTGGCCAAAAGGAAGATTAGAATCAGGTCTGGTCTTACGTTACTAAGTGTAGCTCTTTCTTGAGTTCCAGCCAAGTAGATGTTCATGGGAGGGCGGTGTGTTTGAGGGGCCCAAATCACTAAACGGCCACTTTCCACCTGTGCAGCTGCCCTTGCAAGTTGTGGCAGGGGCCTCCCCGCCAGGCCCTCTCCCTACACTGTGCTCCAGGCACCTCATCCTCTTGGCCCAGACCCTCCAATTAAGAGTAGCCAACTCATCAGGACGCTGGGAACACACGCCACCTGTCTTGCTTGCTGGGCTCTTCCTAGGCCAGGTGGATGCCTCTCCCCAGTCCCCCGGGGGCTCCTTGCTGGGGTAAGGGGGTGGCATCAGAGCCTGCTGCCCTCTCCCTGCACTGAGTGTCTCAGCCTCACAGCAGAAGTGGAAGGGGGCGGTGTCGTCCCCATACCTTGTCTGGAGCTGGCTCGGGAGGAAATCCACAGGGAGCACTTGGGACTTCTTTTACTTCTTATTTGTAGGCGAGGTGGTGGCTGCTTTTTCTCCTTTGCATATGGAGGTGTAGACTAGTATAGTTGGAAAGGGGAGCCCTGGTGGCACCATGGTTAAGTGCTCAGCTGCTAACTGAAAGGTTACAGGTTCGAACCCACCAATTGCTAAATATGGCAGTTCTATTCTGTCCTCTGAGTTGAACTAACTTGACAGCAGTGGGCCGGGTTTGAGTTTTTGGTTTTAAATTTGGAAAGAATATTAACAGCCATTGATGCAACCTCCTTGTTGTGTCCCGGGCTAGCAGACCCCCTCCCTCCAAAAAAGGAAAAAAGTAACGCCTCTGTCCCCAGACACAGTGCAGATGTCTGGCAGGATCAGGCCAGGCTGCAGACTTCCGAGTCTCTTGCCACTTTGTTGATTGTAGGTTGTCTGTGTGTCCCTGAAGTGGGTCAGCAAAGGCTGAGCAGATGTGAAGAGAGTCCAAGCACACTGCTTGAAGAAAGTCCCCCCTGCCCTCCCAAGGATGAGCCGGCCCCCTGTGGCCCTGAGTGAGGGGATATTCTGGGCTCACCAAGAGCTGTCTCCACAGATGACTCTCTGAACGTTGACAACCTGGGGCTGTCAACCAAGCTGGCTAAACAACTCCTGAGACATCTAAGCGACTTTTCAAACTGGGGGAAATGAAAAAAGGTGTTTACGCATGCCTCCATTTACTCCAGAAATAGGTGTGACCCGCCCCCGCAGGGACGGTGCGGGACATGTGGCGGACTGCCTGCCCTTCAGACTCTGGCCTCCTGGCATGGCACTTGGGCGGGCGGGTCCCGATCTTTCTCCTGCTAGCTATCAGGTTATCAAGGCACAACCTGGGCGGCCAGGAGGGGAGAGCGCTTGTGCCGCACCTGAGTGGCGTTTGCACCTGGTGTCCTGTTTCCAGGTTGGCATGTGACCCGCATTGCCTGCACAGGACAGGAAGCTGTGAATGCATCCCTTTCCGCCTTGTTGTGCCCACAGTGTAATCCCTGAGCATGACAGCCGAGCATTTCAGCGTCTTGCCCATAATTACAGTTGCTGGGTCAGGTTGGAGACTTCCCGTGGGGTGTGAGAGGCCAGTTCTGGTTCCTCCCAAACCTGCTGTTCTCAGCTTGCTGGAAAGTCTGGGCACACACATATCCCACTTGACCGGCCACAAGGTTCTCCTGGCCTGGAATCTGGGCCCTGTCTGCTCTTCCACTGATCTGCCCATTTGTAAAGAGGCCTTGGATGAATTTGGGGCTTTCAATGGGGCTGATTTAGCCCCCAGGGGACACTTCTTAGTGTCTTGAGGTGGTTTCAGGTATCACAGTGGGGGATGGAGTGGGGAGCTGCTAGTATCAGGAGGGTGGGGCCAGGGGTGCTGCCAGCCTTCCCAGGGGTCACCAGACCCCAGTGCCACTGGCAGGGAGACTGGGACAAGAAGGTTCTGGGCGTCTTTGCAGTGTGTGATGTTGCTGTGAGCATCTGTCGTGCTGTCTGGGGCCTTTGCTGTGGGCAGCACTTTGCTGACACATGTCCCACAGGGTGGTGGAAGCCTTGCAAGGGCCCTCACTGGCTGTGTCGTCCACAGTTCCTGCGTGTCACCAAGCAGTACCTACCGCATGTGGCACGCCTCTGCCTCATCAGCACCTTCCTGGAGGATGGGATCCGCATGTGGTTCCAGTGGAGTGAGCAGCGAGACTACATTGACAGCACCTGGAGCTGCGGCTACCTGCTGGCCTCCTCCTTTGTCTTCCTCAACCTGCTTGGGCAGCTTAGTGAGTACCTGTGCGCAGCTTCCCTGGGCAGCTCCGTCACATCCGGATGGATGGACGCTCTGGGATGGGGAGACGGGGCTGCAGCTTGAGGGTCTCCTGCAGGATGGGATGTGTAGAAGGGGTGAATCAGATGAGGTCACAGAACTGTCCACTAGCCGTGAAAGCATCTTCGGGTGGCCCTGTCTGCTGGTCCCGACGCTGCTATTGGCTGGGATTCTGATTGGGCTGCAGCGGCACCAGGCTGCCCGGGGAGCTCCCCCAGTGCCCTCACCCTGACTCTCGCTTCCCAGCTGGCTGTGTCCTGGTGCTGAGCAGGAACTTCGTGCAGTATGCCTGCTTTGGACTCTTTGGGATTATAGCCTTGCAGGTAAGCAGCTCTTAACCTTGTTCTCCTGTTCTATGAATTCCCTCATCCTCCTTGTGCCCTCGGTGGGGCTGGCTGCCTGGAGCCAGCAGAGAATGGTGGCGCCAGCGAGTCCTCCACAAAGGGTCAGACACGAGGTCGGTTTTGAGCCAGGACCAATTTTGGTAGGTTACCACTAAGCAGAGCAGAGCACCTCGTTGTCCAGGGTGAAATGTGGAATTAGACCCTCCTTGCTTTCTGATGTAGTTATGGAGGGTGAGGAGTACGTGACCTAACTGCCAGATGGCGTCATCATGTATAACTACAAAACCACTGAGAACCGTGGCCACGTTGGCACCTACCCATGACGGGTACAGCCAGCATCACTTTCGCTTCACACCTCAGTGCTCCTTAACACACAAGATAGTCGGATGCTGAATTGTTCAGTATTGTTGTCAACGGGAAATGTCAAATAACGAGAAGAGGGAAGAGAGGGAGGGTGTTCACTATTTTAACCCAGATCGGTGGACTCAGAACTGGGGGCTCCTCAGACAGGCTCAGGGCCCACAGCCCACCCAGAAGGTGCGCTTGAACCAGGAGCTGCTTTTGTGCGTGTGGTGAACATTCTCACTTAAACTTCCTTCTGTAGACAGGAATTCGATGGAAAATGCCATCTTCAGTCTCTTTCTCTTTGTTCCCCGCAGACAATTGCCTACAGCATCTTATGGGACTTGAAGTTCTTGATGAGGTATGTGCCTGTGGGGAAACTGTCCGTGGGGGGCTCCCCGTCTTTTCCTCACAGAAGCTGGAACCTCAGTGCCATTGGGTGGAGGACAGCTGCTTGGGGTCCAAACTGAACCTCTTAGGACCGGTCTCTCTCGTGGATACCACTGTCCACACCCCAGACTTACTGTGGTTGTCAAGTGCCATTAAGTCACATTTCCACTCAGGACCCTACAGAGGGTTTCCAGGGAGTGGCTGATGGGTTGAACTGCTGACCTTGTGGTTCGCAGTCCAGTGCTTATCCTACAGAGCCACATCAGACACCCCCAGACTTACTAGTGAGGCTGACCACACTGACCCTGCCGGTCCACGGTGATGCCAGTGTGGCCCAGCCCCCTGTCCCTGCTGAGTCCTAAGTCATGTAAGGTCGCACATTCCCACTCTGCCCAAGTCCCTCTGGGCAGGCAGTGTGGTGCGGCCCACAGCCTGGTGCTTTGCTCTTAGGAACCTGGCCCTGGGTGGAGGCTTGCTGCTGCTCTTGGCAGAGTCACGGTCAGAAGGGAAGAGCATGTTCGCGGGCGTCCCCACCATGCGGGAGAGCTCCCCCAAACAGTACATGCAGCTGGGAGGCAGGGTCCTTCTGGTCCTGATGTTCATGACTCTGCTGCACTTTGACGCCAGCTTCTTCTCTGTGAGTAGCCTGGCTCAGGCCCTGCCCCTGTCCCTGCCCCTGCCCCAAGCCACCCTCCCTGGGAAGTACCCACCCACCTGGAGTCAGCAGTAGCCCAGTCCCGTCCGCCTGGCCAGGTGCCCTGCGGCTGGCTCCTGCTTATGCTGCGTGTATGCGGCAGACTGGGAGAGGGCTCTGTCCTTGCTCCAAAGGCTTGCGGAGTTCAGGTCAGGTCCTGAAGGAAGGGTACCTGGGACTGGGCCAGAGGGGAAGGCGGCTTGCAACTGGGATGCCTGGAGGGGTTTAGCGACCCACCAAGGAAGAGCTTGTGTGTGTCCTGGTCTGCCGCAGCCTGTCAGTCAGACTAACCTTTCCCAGCCCTTCATGCTTCCGAGCCAGTGTGGCTGTCTCCACTGCCCACCTCTCTGCTCTTACTTCTTCACTCGCCATTCCAACTGCCCTTCCCCTGCACTCACTCCAAATCTCTCCCCTTGTGACCCATGCAGATCCTTCAGAACATCGTGGGCACAGCTCTGATGGTCTTAGTGGCTATTGGCTTTAAAACCAAGCTGGCGGCTTTGACTCTCGTTGTCTGGCTCTTCATCATCAACGTGTATTTCAACGCCTTCTGGACCATTCCTGTCTATAAGCCCATGCACGACTTCCTCAAGTACGATTTCTTCCAGACCATGTCTGTGATCGGAGGCTTGCTTCTGGTGGTGGCTCTGGGTCCCGGGGGCGTCTCCATGGACGAGAAGAAGAAGGAGTGGTAACAGGCCCCATCCCTGCAGGTGCGGGCCATCAGGGCGGATTCCACAAAACTGCCAGCGTTTATGTACCCCCTTCCCCCGTCCCTCCTTGGTAAAGGCACAGATGGTTTGAGAACTTTCTTTACAGAGACACCTGAAAATTGATGGTTAAAGCTGCCTTGGAACCGTAATTAGGTAGATTGAGTATTCAGTGCTGGCCAGACGGTGCGGCCCGCCCCTCCCCTCCCGGCCTGGCTGCAGCATGGGGTGGGCAGCTCGTGCCCCCTCAGTCCTGTTTCTGTGTTTGATTTTCTTTCTGGGAGGGAGGCCTTCCAGCTGTACTGTGAGCAGATACATTTGGTGTGTCCTTCAAAGCAAGTCTCCCTCCTCTTATTGTAATTCCTCTTGACGTTTACATTCGTAGCTAAAACTACTCAGTGATTGGGAACTTGGGGTGGCCTGGCCAAATGTCACACTTGCTGTCAAACTCCCTGGTTTAAAATCCTACCCCATGACATCAACCAAGGTGGTTTCCACCCCTCGTAATGCGTTATTGGAAGAAGTGTCATGCAGCCCCAAACTCAGAGATGGATGCAGTATTAAAGGGATTACGACTGAGCTGCTGTTTATGGTAGAAGTCCTGACCTGGAGCGCTCTCGGGTCAGGACCCCAGCCAGGAGGGGCCGGGGGTTGGGCATCCTGGGACACATGCAGCATCTACAGCCTGAAACCCCACTCAGAAAGACTGGACAGGGTACCCCTTTCCCAGCCCCCCATGCTGGCCTGCCAGTCGCTTCACCCCACTGCTCAGCTGGCCCCCTCCTGTCTGGCCAGTTGCCATGGGCAGTGGTGACCATAGACTCCAGGACCCACTGGCTCTAGTTACCTCACACTTGACCTTTTCAGAGACAGTGTTGGGGGCCACAAGCAGCTGAGGGGCTACCTGGTAGGCGTGGCCACTTACTCTCAGCAGCATTGACTGACCGCACTCAAGGTATTCAGCTCCCTGACTTTTGAGATGCTGAATGCAGCCAAGATTTCTTTCTACAATTTGTGATGCCTTACCGATTTGATCTGAATCCTGTCTTTAAAGTTTTCTAACATTGCCTTATACTGTGTTTTTCTCTTCTTGGGGGCATATTTACTTGTTGTGGATCCTCCCAGGGGCCCAGCAAAAGATGACTGAGGCTGGGCACTTAGCACTGGGGTAGCAGGCAGCAGCGAGTTCCAAAAGCCCATCAGAAGCTCTGACCTGAAGCCATCCTGAGGCAGGGTGGGATGACAGATGTCCCAGCCAGTGGAGTTCATCCCTTGATGTTTCAGCGAAGCCTTTCACAAGGCCTGCTTCCAGCATCTTTAGGATGATACAGTGGCCAAGGCCAGAGGGGCTCTTTCTGTGTAGCCCCTCAGATGTCCACCCCTTACACCCATCCTTGTCACTTGGCCACACCACTCTCTGGCAGGGAGCTGGGTCCTTCCTGGCTGTGTGTCTGCGGAAGGGTACCATCACCGCAGGCCTCGCCCAGCCTTGGTGGGCGTCGACTTACGAGCTACCAATTGGTTTTGACAAAACAATTGATGAAAATTTTTTTTGCTTTACCTGGGAAATAGGTATAAATCTCATTTTATGCTGTATTTTATATCTTAGTTGTGTTTGAAAATGGTTTGATTTTTGGAACACACATCAAAAATAAATAATGGCATTTGTTGTACGTGTGGTCATCTGGTGCCCTCTAGTCCAGCCACCCAGCTCAGTCACTTCTAGATGCTCCTCCTGGGAACTGCTGCTTCCTGTGGGGTGGAGGGGGGATTCCCCCATTTCACCCCTACCTAGGGGCAGCAACTGTAGAGTGAGGAGGCAGGAGACCAAAAACACTGGAGCTTGAGGCAGGCTGGGACAGGGAGACCCCCTGAGGGATGAGCTGGCTCCTGCTGGCTTTTCTAGCTCAAATGCTTCTTGGAATGGAAGCTCCTTGGTCCCAAGTGGCCGCCTTTCACCTTCTTCCTCAGGGAGCCTAGCTGTGTCTGCAGAAGAAATAAGCACCATCAGAGAGCCTTTCTGATCCCAAGATACAGCTGAGTCGGAACGCAAGTGCACATACACACCCAGAGGTGCTGCTCTGAAAACTTGCCATCAGCTGCCCTGCCCATGGCAACTGTACCTGTGAAACATCCTGGGGGGAGGGGGGGCTGCTCTGCTGGCCCCAGTCTTGTTACCTACTCAGATCTTCATTCTGGACCCTATTGCTAAGCTAAGCTCAAGGATCGTTGTCCAGTGCCAGTGAGTGGCTTCCAACTCGGCGAACTGTATAGGGTTTCTCAGGTGTGGCTAGTGAGTTTGAACCGCCGACCTTGCGGTTCCAGCAATCTTTCTGTCCAGTGTTTATTCTATAGCACCATACCCAGACTCTGCCAATTAGACCGGGTCTCCTGGGTGGCATAAACGGCTGAGCTACTAACTAGACGGTGCTTTAGAAGAAAGACCTGGTGATATATTCCAGAAACCAACCACCCAAAGCCCAGGGTGCAGAGCTCTACTGACACGGATGCCACAAGTCAGCTGACTCTGCAGCATAGTTACTGCAAGCCAACGGCCTCCAGGTTTCCTCGTCTCCACAGCAACAAACAACAAACGAGAGGCCATGGTACTGCCCCAAGCAGCAGTCCCCACTCACTTGTACTTTGTCATAAGCGGTTAGCTCGAAGTTCTACATGTTCTTTCTTTTAAAATAATCTGAAAGGGATTGCTCGTGGAGCCTGCTATGCTTGTGGCTGACCTTCCTGCGCTTCTGGGCCACCGTCTGGCTGGCTTCTGTCGCCTGCCCTCTGCTCCCAGAGCCTGGTGTATTCCTGTCATCCTCAGTGTCCATCAGACAGTCGTCGGTCCCTCCCAGGTCGTTTCTGGGGAACAGCTCAGCTGCAAGGAGAGAGGCAGACAAGCTCACGCGTTCTGTGAGGGGCACTGGGGGATGTGCAAGCAGCCAAGGAGGGAGGAGGGCATGGGGACTGAGCTAGGCCAGCAGGGGCGTGCCTGCTTACGTGGGTACAGGTCTGTCATGCTGTCGTCACTTTGGGAACCTCCATCACTGGATTCAGGCTCCCAGAAACCTCCTCTCCCGCCAGGCTGCCCCCCGTTGGTGTGATCCTCCTGCTGCTGCCGCCTCCTATGTAACAAGCAGGCCGGGACGTACTCCACTCCCTGCTCCTGGCATTCCTTGTCTGGGAACAGTGAGGGGTACACTTACCCAGAGCCCTGAACCCCCAGCCCACAGCTGCGGGTATGTGCCCACCCCACCAGGCGGTGGTCTACCACCTTTTTCTAGTTCAGTTGCAGCCGGGCCACCAAGGGAGCAACCGTGGTGAGCACGCAGCGCACGACGCCAACAAGGCCAGCCTGAGTCCAGGACCCGCCATGCCCGTGCTGACCCCTTAGGAAAGTCCCCCAGTGTGTCCCCGGCACGGCCCCCCGGCCCGCCCCGTCCCGCCGCCCGGACTCACACTGGCGCAGCGCCTTCTGGAAGCGGCGGCCCCGGGTATGCCTGAGGACGTGCTCCGGACACTTGTTGATGTGTCGGAGAGTGAGTTTGCAGAAGAGCTGGTGCCTGAGGGGCAGGGAGACCACGCTTTCAGGGACAACTGCTCTGGCTCTGCGGGCACTGGCCCGGCCCCAGGACGCGAGCCCACCCGCCGCCCCTTCCTCCGGGGCGACGGCGCAAATGACAAGTCTTGCTCCCCAGGGCCGAGCCCGCCTGGAACCGCGGGAAGGGCCGGCTCCTTAGCTGGGATGAGGCCTCCCAGCGACCCCTCTCTCAGAGCCGGGCACACGGCTCGGGTAGAGGCAGCTCAGCAAGGGAGGCCCCGGGGAGGTCGGTACCCTCGCCCCACATACGGGTTCTTGGTGCTGGGCACGATGTGCGGCTCGAACTCGGCGTAGTCGAAGGCGGGCGCTGCGCTCACCAGCCGCTGGTACTTGCGGCCGCGGGTGTAGAGCTGGAGCGCCGGCAGGCGGCAGGGCAGCTCGTGGCCGGTCAGGGAGCATGTCACCTGCGGGCGAGGGCGGCGCGGTCAGGGCCCAGCCTCCGTCTCCTACCCGTCCCCTTCCCTCTTGTTCCCCCCCTCGGACCCTGGCGCCGCCGGGCTGGAGCCGCAGGGTCGGGTGCTGGCGCAGGTAGTCCCGCACTTCGGCTGGGAGCTCGTCCATACTCGGTCGCCGGCGTCGCGCACACAGGCGTTACGACCTCCGCGGCGCCCCGGAAGTAGATACGTCTGCGTCCCGGATGTGTTTGCCTGCTGCCGGGGCAATGGCGGCGCAGTGGCTGGCGGGACTGAGACTGCTGCGCGTGATGGGTGCGGGCCGGGTACGCGAGGGGCAGACAGCGGGGAGGAGGGGTGCAGAGGGCGGGGGCCCCTAGGGAGGGGGGGCACACAGGGCGGGGGCCCCTGGGGAGGGGGGGCACACAGGGCGGGGGAGTAGGGTCCCGGGTAGGAGGCGGGTGGCGCGCTGGGTAAGAGTTTCCATTAGTCCCTCTGTGCTCCCGCAGGCCCTGGGCAGTGCGGTGGGAAGAAGCGTCCTTGGGGTCCCCCAGCGCCCAGGTGAGGAGTGTGTGGGGAGAGATTGAGGTGTCCTCCCTGCAGGTTGAAGGGACCCCAGGGGACTGAAGTACAAGAGACAATTCCACAAAGGATGTTGTCTATGAAATGCATTTTAACCGAGTCTTGGTTGTGTGTGGCTGTTGCTGCTGGCTTCTCTAGAGTTGATCTAACTCACACTGACCCTGTATGACACACTAGAGCTTTTTATTAGCATCCGAGTGCTTAACCTGTGTGCCACCAGGGCTCGCTGTCAGCACTGTCACAGTAGTAAGGCTGAGAGAGGGCAAATCACTTGCTCCATGTGTCAGCTGTCTGTTGAGTGACACACCCAGTGCACACTGCTGTCCCGTCCAGCACTGCTGCCTCCCTCACGGGTCACCCTGTGAGCACACATGCGGGAGAGTGCGGGAAGAAAGTGTTTTCCGAGCCCTGAGGATGGATACGATGTTCCTTCACACGGGCATGGTGGGGCCACTGGTTGTTTCCTTGAGCAAAGAAATGAAAACCAGATGCATCTTAGGACACATGAGTTGCTCAGGGTCGTGGGTGGTGGCAGAGCCAAGAGCAGCCTGTGTCTTGTTTAAGTGTACTGGGGTGAGCTGGTGCTGCTTGTCTGCCATTTTGGCCTGTTCGCTCCTGTCCAGTGTTCTCTTAGGCGGGACAGGCAGAGAGTTGGTGAGGAGTCAGCTGCTCCAATTGACGCTTCTGGGTTTCTGACCCCTGCCAGTGGTAGGAAGCCAGCAGTACCCACCTCTCTTGCCTCTAGGGGTGGCCTGGAAGCCAAGCAGGTGTGGCGGTTCCACAGCAGAAGCACCTGCCACCAAAAGGGAGGACGAGTCCTTTCTCCAGTGGTTCCTGCTCCTTATCCCTGTGACTGCCTTTGGCTTGGGGACATGGCAGGTAAAGGCTGCTGTCTCACCCAGCTGCCTCGGAGCCCTCAGCCTGCTGCCGTCTGCTCAGCATCTGTGTCCACAGGTCCAGCGTCGGAAGTGGAAGCTGAAGCTGATTGCGGAATTAGAATCTCGAGTTATGGCTGAGCCTGTCCCTCTGCCAGCAGAGTGAGTATGCGACTGCTTGGCTGCCTTCCGTCCCTTCAGTGGGCCTTCGCCAGTTCGTCCCTGGCTCCCCCCACATCTTTAGTATGGGTTTCCTGTTGGAGCCTAGGCATCCTGTGGAGCTGTGGGACGTACCCTGCCCCTTAGCCCTGGCTTTCAGCCTTTCTCGAGATGAAGGCCCCTCCCTGGGCTGAGAGCCTTCTAGAGCAGGGTACTTAGCTGCAGGGGAGAGGGGTGGACAGAGAGGTAGTTTAAAAAGTGCCCCAAGTGAATCTGCTGTCCCTTGCCCCTCACCTCATTTGCAGGCCCGAGCTCTGGTAGCGTAGTGGTTACGAATCGGGCTGTGAACCTTAAGGTCAGCGGTTCGAAACTACCAGTCGCTCCGCGGGAGAAAGATGAGGCTTTCTACTCCCGTAAAGATTTACAACACCCTCGGAAACCCTGTACAGGGTCGCTATGGGTCGGACCCGACTCGATGGCACTTAACAACAACAACAACAACAACATTGGATTCATAAGGAGCTCTGGTAGCATAGTGGAATCAGGCTGCAAACCACAAGGTCAGCAGTTTAAAACTACCAGCTGTTCCACGGGAGAAAGATGAGACTTTCTGCTCCCGTAAAGATTTACAGCCTCGGAAACCCTGTACAGGGTAGCTGTGAGTTGGAACTGACTCCACGGCACATAACAACAACAACATTGGATTCATAGTGCATAAAACGTCCACACGGGTTTTCCCGTTTTTAGCTAATTTGAGACTGGCAGCAGAGACCTGCATTCCCACATAGCATCAGAGAGCAGGGCTGGGGACCACCCCCATGAGAGGGCACGCCCTGCAGTCCCAGCCCCCCTGAACCCTGTGTTCTGTCTTTACCAGCAGGGTCTGGGGGTGCATTCCTGCTGATCCTCGCTTGGTCTCAGCTCTCGCTCCCCCTCCCCCCCCCCCAGCCCAGTGGAACTCAACAGTCTGGAGTACAGGCCAGTGAAGGTCAGGGGGCGCTTTGACCACTCGAAGGAGCTGTACATGATGCCCCGGACTATGGTGGACCCAGCCCGGGAGGCCAGGGAGGCTGGCCGGATCTCATCCTCAGCCGAGAGTGGTGCCTATGTCATCACCCCCTTCCACTGCTCTGAGCTGGGGTGAGTAGGAGGGGTCCCAGGTCAGACCATCCTAGTCCCCCCGCTGGCCTTCCTCAACCCCCAACCTCAATAAGGCCTCCATCTGAAATCCCGAATTCTGATAGTGGTTAAGCAGCCTAACCTTTGGGCAATTTGTTTGTCAGGGAACAAGTCGTAAATAAGTTGTTAAGGGGCTGGGTAATAGGGCACCAGCAAGAGGAACTCAGACTGTCCAGAGAGGCCAGAGAAAGCCTCTGGGGTAAAACTTGAGTGACAGGAGGGAGCATTCACACCCAGGCAAAGGAAATGCCCATGACCCTGGACTCATGAAAGCCCCAGCCCTCCGGGTTCAGCTCCCAGCCTGCATTGTGAACCCCGAATGTGGTGTCAAGGTGGCTGTGTGCTTGCCAGCTGGCCGGAGTCACACTGAGACAGGAAGACCAGTTGGTGGGGTGTGAGCCACAACTCCATAGGAGGGACTGTCCACCAGCTCAGACACAGGCGGCACAGGTGGTCACGGCCCTCCAGGGATGGTTATTCCTTGAGGCTGTGGTCCATCCTAGAGACACTTGTCCTCCCACAGGCCTCTAGGATGGGCTGTCTCGTCATCCTTCTCCAAGTTAGACTCCCCAGACCAAGTCTTGCGGTTGTTATTCTAGAACCACTATCCTGGTAAACCGGGGGTTTGTCCCCAGGAGGAAGGTGAACCCAGACACCAGACAGAAGGGCCAGGTAAGGGCCACCCCCATGCAATGTCCAGTGTTACCAGTGTCCCTTACCCCCACCCCTTGTCTTGACTGCTTCCGCCCCTTTGACAGATCAAGGAGGAAGTGGACCTTGTGGGGATGGTGCGGCTGACAGAACCCAGAAAACCATTTGTTCCCAAGAACAATCCTGAGAGAAACCATTGGTATTACCGGGACCTGGAGGCCATGGCCAGTGTGACGGGCTCTGAGCCCATCTTCATCGATGCCGACTTCAGTACGTTGGGACCAGCCCAGTTTCCAGATCCAGCCTGTCTTTGTGGGGTGGGGTGACTGCTTACCTCTGGAACTGGCCCTGCTCAATACTGAACGTAGCAGGAATGCAAGGACAGACAGACCGACAGACAGATGGGGCAGGGCCACCTCAGTGAAGCACCTTGGAGGGGGCCCTGAGGCTGCTACACTGTCCTTACAGAGAGCACTGTCCCTGGAGGACCCATTGGGGGCCAGACGAGGGTCACACTGAGGAATGATCACTTACAGTACATCATTACCTGGTGAGTGCCTAGGTCCTAGGTCCAAGGTCCACTAATCACCCCCCACTGCAAGTCCTCCCTCTCAGTGACACAGCTGCCTCTCCCCACCCCAGGTACGGCCTCTGTGCAGCCACAGCATACCTGTGGGGCAAGAAATTCCTGCGCTGGACACCCATCAGCTTGAGGTAGTCATCGTAATTGTCTGCAGTCCCTTACTTCAATGGTGGGGCTTGTGGGATAAATAAAGCTTGCTCGTGGGTGCACACAGAGCCTTTGTTTATAGCTACACAACACAGTGGGGGCACATCAGTTCCATGACAAGCAGTGGACGACTGAGAGGGGATGGAGGTGTGAACACCAGTTGATAAAAAAATTGTTTTCTGTGCCTGGGAGGCACTCATCTCAAGCCTACTGGCCACTCCTTATCAGGTCCCTGAGTCCAACTGACTTGAAAAGGCACTTAATCCCTAGGGGGAACATTGGTGGTTCAAACTCACCAGCTGCTCCTCTAAAACAGGATCGCTGTCAGACTCAAACTTTTATTTCACCTGACTTGGTTTTGTGAGCACACCATTTCAGTACTTGGTGTTTTCACTGTATGATTAAGCATTGGACTGCTAGATGCAAGGCCAGTGGCTCAAACTCACCAGCCCCCCCACCCCTAGGACAACCCATGTTGATGTAAATTCAGCCACCCTGGATTCACCAGCACCAACCTGACAGCACACACCACTTTCTGAGCTTTCCCAAACCCCCAACTTAACAGACCCCACTTCACACCTTACAGACATCATTTATCTGACAACCCAGACAGGAGCTCAAGAAGGAATTTATTTATATGTACAGAGAAACCAGCCGCGTACACATTAGCCCAATTTGGTAGCCAGTTCTTTGGCCTTTGCCTTTTCCAGCTTGGCAATGCGAGCCACTGATTTTGGACCCAGGACGTTGCCTCCCCAGTGACGTCGGATCTGAAAAGAGAAGGTGGTTGGTTGGTTGGTTAGCTTCTTATGAAATCAGGCTGTGAACCGCAAGGTCAGTAGTTCGAAACTACCAGCTGCTCTGCAGGAGAAAGAGGCTTTCTGCTCCCGTAAATATTTACAGCCTCGGAAACCCTGTACAGGGTCGCTATGGGTCGGAACCAACTCGACGGCACTTAACAACAATCCCCCCAGGGCCCTTGGGATATGCTAGTCAAGCTGTTGCACTTGGTGGGATCCTGGTGTGAACCACCAACTTAGGTCAGCAGTTCAAACCTATCAGTTGCTCCTAGGAAACCCTGTACATGATTGCTATGGGTTGGAACTGACTTGATTCATACCTACAGCCACGGCCAGAAGAAAAGGCAAGGCTGGCTGCTTCTGTAGAGACTTAAAGGTCTCAGTGACAGCAATGTGTCCTGCAGGTCAGCCAGTCTTTGGTAAAAAAAAAACTGCCAAGTGGGATTTCATGTGACAAGCCATCTCACCTCGTCATATCTGTCGTTGTAATTGGTCCTGATGGCTTCTACCAGCTTAGCCAGAGCTCCTTTGTCTTCCCTAAGAGAAAAAAGATGAGAATATGGGACCCACCGCATTTATCCCCCAGCTAACTTGTCTAGAAAGCAGGAGCAATGTCATATTTTGCACCAAACAAGCCTTTTTTGCCTCAGATAAAATCTGACCACATCGTTTATTCAGGTGAAGAAATTCTTAACCATCATTGGCAAAAGGTCAAGTTATCACTCAGACCACCTCTCAGAAATCCTACCCAATGATTTCAGTGTTCCCACCCAATCCCCACGGAGTCCTGGTGTGGCCCTGTGGGTTAATGCGCCAGACTGCAAAGCGGTTTGAACGGCAAGGTTGGTGGTTCAAGCTCATCAGCTGCTCCTTAGAAACCCTATACAGGGTCACAGGTGACTCAACGGCACTTAACAAACACCCCCCCTGGATCCTTAACAGAGCCTGGGATAGGGTCCCTCAACTTACGAGTTCACCTGCGTGAAGGCCACAGTGGTGCAAGTCTTCCTGTGGACCAGGCGTCCCAGCCGGGCCTTCCCCTTGATGATGCAGTAGGGAACTCCCATTTTACGACACAAGGCCGGCAGGAAAACGACCAGCTAGAAGACAAGGCCAGTACGATGAAGAATGCCTATCAACCCAAAGTGACCATTGAATTGGGTGCTCTGGCAGCTCTGGCTCAGGGTTAAAAAGCTCATTGTGTTTGCACTTCAAGGGTTAATTCAGGGCTAAAGTGACATCACAGCGAGAGCCACTGTGGGTCGCTGGTTGGTTGGCACCACGTCACGACAAGCCACGCACCTCGATGGGGTCCACGTCGTGTGCGATGACCACCAGCTGGGCCTTCTTGTTCTCCACCAGAGTGGTAACAGAGTTCACCCCTGCAACACAGGCGCCATGAGCACAAGGGGGTCGCGGCTCGGCCCACTCAGCTGCAGGGGGCTCGGCTGTGACTCAGTGTTAAAAAGCTCAATTCTGCCCTCATGGTGGTTTCGGGAGAAGTCACTGTCATCACTGCCACAGCAGACCCCCTGCCCATCCCTCAGGGAGGCCCACTCACCAGCACGCAGAACAGGGGGCCTCTTGGTGGGGACGTCCCCTTTGCCAGCCGCCTTCTTTTCAGCTCGGGCCAGCAGCCTCTGCTTCTTCTCCTGCTTCGTCTCCGGCCGGTACTTGTGGGCCAGCTTCAGCAGCTGAGTGGCTGGACAAAACAAGGTCCTTAGTCTGTCGTCTGTCTTGTGCCCCACGTTGCCATCCTATCTTGCTACCTGTCCTCCCCTGGGAGCAGTCCCTACTGCGATGGCTCCCTATGCACCCGACATGCAGAACACAACAAAGACTCCCAGGTTCCAAACCTAACCTCCTGATAATACCCAGTCAGTTCAAACGGCCTCAGTGTTCCTCACAGTCCAAGTGGTGGCTCTGTATCAAACCCACCTGTCTGGCGGTCCAAGGCCTGGGTGAACTGGTTAATGGCAGGGGGGACTTTCAGCCGTTTGTAGAGAATAGCCCGTTGCCGCTGCAGCCGGATGTAGCGGGGCCATTTGACAAAGCGGGTGAGGTCCCTTTTGGGTTGGATGTCCTGTCCTGTAAAGTATTAGACGGCGCAATGAGTGGGTTCAGCCGCCTCTCCACTGTTAGGTCTGGGGCCACTGGGAGAGGGTCTCAGTGCATCAGCGATCTTGGTGGTTTGAGTGACATCACCGCACTCAGATAGCAAATATTCTTTCACATCATCTGCACCCAGACACCTCTGTCCTGGGGGGCGTCCAGTGCCTCCCCTCATCAGCAGTCAAGAGACACCCCCCCAGCACTGCATCCAACTGAAGGGACGCTGCTGCTAGGAAGGGCCGCTCCATCCCACGCCCCAATTTCCAAGAGTAGGTTACTTGGGTCAGGAACCACAGGGTCAGCAGTTTGAATCCACCCACCAGCTTTTATAGCCTTTAAAACCCTATGCCGGGTGACTAGGAAACCCGCCGAGACAGCACACAGTTGTCGGGCCCTTAACCACTAAGGCGCCCTGGTAGCACCGCGAGCTGAGCACTGAACTGATAAGCACAAGGTCAGCAGTTTGAATCCAGCAGCCGTCCCGCGGAATGGAAAGCATTATAACCTCGCAGCACCGCAGCCCGACTCTAAACCACTAAGGCCCACAGCGCCGTGAACATTTCAAGGAACGAGGCCTCGTGGCAGTGGGGTAAGCAATGCACTCTACCACCGAGGTCAGCGGTTCAAGTCCCCAGGCCGCTCCTCGGAAACCGACATACCAGCCCTTTCTTCCCGACTCACCGATACCGAAGTTCTTGGGCCTTTTCTCAAACAGAGGATTCACCACCTTCTTGGCCTCCTGCTTCTTGACAACGGCAGGCGCCGGCGCCACCTTCTTCCCCTTGGCCTTCTTTCCCTTCGGCTGCGCGAGGAGGAAAGGCGCTCAGCGCCGCGCCTGCGCCCCACCAGCTCCCCAGCCCTCGTGCATCGTCGTCTCGGTGGCAGGAAGCCGACGGCAAACGCCCGTCATCATCCGCACCGGCCCACCCCCAGCCGGACGCCCTGCTCTGCGTCCCGAAGATCCGGGGGCCCCGCGTCCTTGGCCGCGACGGCGGCGACCCTGGCCGCCCGAGTCCGCACAGCGGCGCTGCGCTCCAGTCCCCCCTCCCTCGCCGCCGAGCGGGGGCCACCGCACCCGCATCCTTTTCCCTGCCGCCGGGGCGACCCGCGATCCCAGCCCGAAGCTCACGCGCCAGGTCTCGCGGGGCTCCCCCGCCACCGATCAGAGAAGGGGACCCCATGGGGGTACGCCTCGAGGAGGATGGCGGCGGATAGCGCCAGACCAGTCGGGGCAACATAGGCGCCACATTCACTCACCATCTTGGGCGGATGGATCAGAGAGAAAGAGAAGGAATTGTGGGTAATTTGTAGGTAACCTCGGAGATCGCGAGATTTGGTGTCTGCGCGGGATTTTGGATTTAAAGAGAAAATAGCGCTTTGCGCCTGCCGGAAGCTTAGCGGCCGGAAAGGGACGTAGGAGCTCGCCGCCCGGGTGGTGGAGTAAGCCTGGTAAGGGCGGACCCTGAGCGGTGGGATCCAAGCATTTGGTTGTGCCGAAGGCGGGCGGTGTAGACGGGAGCTCTCTCGGAAGAGATGCCAAGCGGCCTCTCGCCCGACGCCCCCACCAGACCCCCCTACCGCGGAGCCCCGAGAACATGAACCCAGTATTAGCCCTGGAGTTACCTGGTGGCTCTACTCATAGCGACCGCATAGGACAGAGAACTGCCCCACAAGGCTCCCGAGACTGCCAGTCTTTACGGAAGCACATCTCCAAGCCTCCCGTCCCTGGGTTCAAACCACCAACTTTTAGATTAGCAGTCAGACGCTTCACCGCTGTGTCGCCAGGCTCCTCCAGGAGCTAGCACTGCCCAGCACCCTGGAGGGGGCGGGGTGGGCTGGAGAAAATGCATCCAAGGTGTGTGCATGGAATGGGAAGGACTGGATACGGCTGCTTGCTGAGACGGGCATGGAGCTCCAGCGAGAAGCTGGAGGGGAGGAGCTGTGAGCGCTGTCCAGGCCGCTCTCGAGGCCCGGGGGGCCTGAGGGACACCCCATCGCAGCCCTGAGAAGTCTGGCTTGGAGCGGGGAGCAGGGCGCTCAGGGTCCACCTAGTATGAGGCTGACCTTTGAATTTGTACCGGGAGAGCTGGCCCAGGGAAGAGGCCGGGTTGCCAGTCCCTGCAGTTGTGTTTCTCTGTGTGTGAGTGAATGATTGAATGAGTTGAGCTAAGGTGGCAGCTCAGAGATGGCTGAGGTTGACCGCAGTGGGCCCACACTCAGACGTCTTCCCTCGGCTGTGCGTCCCAGGTGTGGAGGACCCATGGCCCAGCAGAGAGCTCTGCCGCAGAGCAAAGAGACGTTGCTACAGTCTTACAACAAACGGCTCAAGGACGATGTCAAGTCCATCATGGACAATTTCACAGAAATCATCAAGACCGCCAAGGTGGGCGGGGAGGGGGAAAGGGAAGGGGAGGGCCTGCCGGCCCTGGCTCTGGGAGACCAAGGGTGATGGTGAGTCCAAGTGGCCATTCCTAGACTGTAATCTACAAGGGAGCCCTGGTGGCGCTGTGGGGTAAACATAGGGATGCTAACCACAAGATTGGCGGTTCAAACCCACAGCCGCGCCTCCCGAGAACCTAGAGGCTGTATGCTCCTGTAAAGATCTACAGCCTCAGACACCCTGTCCCATAGAGTTACTGCGAGTCAGATTACAATGCAGTTGTTTGGTTTTAATCTTTACGGGAGCAGATGGCTAGGTCTTTCTCCTGCAGAGCCGCTGGGTATGTTTGAACTGTCAACCTTTGGGTTAGCTGCTGAGCACTTAACTATTGCACTGCCAGGGCTCCTTGGGTGGTCAGCCTGCTCTGGCTAACAGCATGGGGCAGGTTAGCTCTCAATAGCAGCCAGCATGTGTGAAACAGCTTCGCTGGGCCTGACACTGGGTCTTAAAGCAGTGACCAGGGCAGGCTGACCCTCGACTTACTTGTTTGCCACCCCCCTTCCAGATTGAGGACGAGACCCAGGTGTCCCGGGCCACCCAGGGTGAACAGGATAATTACGAGATGCACGTGCGAGCTGCCAACATTGTGAGTCAGCCAGAAGGGCCCAGTGGGCTCCAGGCACATATGGGGGTTCCTGAGTGAACTTGGTATAGGATACACATGGCTCTGATGCTGGTCCCCTTCCTTTCTTTCATGGCCAACAAGGCCTTGGTTTCACCCTCGGCTGCTGTGAAGCGGAGCGTGGGGATGGACCTCTTAGGGGGCCGTCATGGGAGGGCTGTTTATGTGGGTGGGAGCTACACTGTCTCGGGGCACTGAGCCCTGAAAGTGGTTGAGAGGTGGACCTGCCTGTGTGACGTGAGGCTCCCCAGAGTCACCATGCAGGGAAAGGAATTCCAGTGTGAGCCAGCAGGGACCCCAGGCTGTGTTTCTGACTCGTCTTTCTTGGTGGTCCGAGCTCGCTCTTCCCTCTGCTCACTTGTTTAATCTCTCAGCTATCTCAAAGGAGATTGACTGGAGACACCACCTAACCCTGTAGATCGCATCCGGCCTCAGTCACGTCACTGTTGCTACTGTCGTTACACGCACCTTTGAGTCGTTCCTGACTCATAAAGACCCTGTATAAGGTGTCCGAGGAGTGGCTGGTGGGTTTGAACCTTGCAGTTAGCAGTCCAGTGCTTGTCCCACAGAAGGCCTTCATGAACATCCTGTTGGTGGTGGTAAGTGCCGTTGAGTATAGGGTTTCCGAGGAGCAGCTGGTGAGCTTGAACTGCAGACCTTGCAGTCCATTGCGCTGCCCTGCAGCACAACACCACAAGCCCATCAACACCCTAGAGGTGAGGATTTATGAGTCTCCGGATGATGATGTAATTATCCTCCATTTTGTGATCTGATGTCCTGGTCCCGGGTGCTCTAAATCCTCACCTCTAGGGTGTTAATCCTGAGTATCATGGCCCAACCAAGTGGATGCACATTTTAGGAGGATAAATTTGATCAGTAACATGGATGAAAACATGCAGAAAAGGTCTCTGGGGATCCCCACCCACTGTCGGCAGGGCAGGAGCTTAAGGGACGATGGTTTTACCAGTGGGTTTGAGCAAACCCACGTGACTGGTGTGTAAAGGACAGGGCTTCTGTGAGCAGGAGCCGAGGCCAACTGAAGGCAGGTTCCAATGGTTCCCAGCAGGCTCATCCTGTAACTGACCTTCTACTCTGTTAGTTTCCCAGGGTTCCTGAGATAAATTTCACACCACAGACCTTGCTCCTGGTAGCTGGTCTCTTCCAGTGGCTACATCCGTCCACTCTCTGGTCTGTCTTCTCCGTGTCCATCCCTGTGCTCTTCTCAGTGTCTAATATGATCTCGTGTGAACTGAAAATTGCAAAGACTAGCTCTTCCAATAGGGTCACGTGCACAACGCCAGGGGTCAGGACTCAGTTCCACCCATGGCAAACCCAAGTTCTGTAGTCCCATTTTGCAGATGAGGCAGCTGAGGCTCTGAGCTGAGCATCACTGTCACCCACCCGCATCCGCTCTGGTTCTGGCGACACAGGTCCGAGCTGGCGAGTCCCTGATGAAGCTGGTGTCCGACCTCAAGCAGTTCCTGATCCTCAATGACTTCCCATCGGTGAACGAGGCCATCGACCAGCGCAACCAGCAGCTGCATGCGTTGCAGGATGAGTGTGACCGGAAGCTGGTGGCTCTGCGCGATGAGGCCTCCATCGACCTCTACGAGCTGGAGGAGGAGTTCTACTCGTCCAGGTACAGATAGAGCAGCCTGCGCCCAGGGGCAGCTCAACCAGGAGTTCCCGGGGCTGCGCTCTGCTCTAAACCCTGCATTTCAGAGCTGGACATAGACGCCCGGGCTGCAGCTCCCTAGATGGATGTCACCGGGCCCTACCATGTGAAGGCTGGCCAGCCCTGGGAGGGAGCGGGAAAGCCCAAACAGAGACTGGCCATGGGAGCAGACTTGGGCACCCAGACCGCCAGTCTCCATTCAGCTCAGCCTTGTTTTCTGAACCCTGCTACATGCCAGGTCACATATGGGCACAGCTGTGGGCAAGACCTCCAAGGGCCATGTAGATCCCGAAACCTGAGACCGTTTCTCAAAGGGTCCCGAGAAATCAATGTCTTATGTACAGAGGGGAAACAGGCTGGAGATGGGCAGGCCTCGGAAAATCAAGATTCAGTCCAGCAGATACAAAGCCCAGCGCCCAGCAGGTGCGCCAGCTTGCACGCCTCTCTTCCTTCCTGGCGGTGGATTTAAAATGCGCGAGGTTGCACTGAGTAGCCCTGGACATCCAGAACCCACATGCCCCCCTCCCTGCTCTGGATGGACTCTATGCCACCCCAAGGTCTGCCCAGTTCTGGAACATTCCCGAGGGCTCCAGCTCAGCAGACATTGACATGCGCCTCCTACATGCTAGGGCAAGCTAGGGGAACTGACCCACACTACCCCTTGCAGACCCTTCAGGGGACGTGACCCCCCCTCCCCAGCCCCTTTTGGTTTTGCAGAAGACCCTCATGTCCTCACCTTTGTTTCAGTCCTTGAGCAGCTGATACTGTCTAGATCCTGAGCCAGAGCAGGGAAGGAACCTGCCCCAGGTGTCACAGCAAAGCGGAAACACAACCCAGAGTCCTAAGTCCCAAGCTCCCAATGTCCTCGCCACTCCTCCCAAAATATGTGCCTGGGCTACCCCACTAATCACTGGAGGGTTGAGGTGGATGGGGAGGCCCGCGCCCCCAGGTGTCTCCTGGGGCAGAGTAGGTAGATTCCTTGTCTGCCCTTTCGATCGATGGTCAGGGCTCAGCAGAGCCGAGCTCCTGGCCACTCCCTGCTATCCTCACAGTGGAGTCCACTGATGGTCAGGCACTCCTTCCCTGCATGAGCTACTACCCCCAACACCCGGCCGCCGCCTGCTCACCCACCTTCCACCTGGTGTTACTCTTTCTGGCGCTGTCTTTCTCTCCACTTCCCTCTGGATGTCAGGTGTTTCTGAGGTAGAACGTCAGAGACGAGAGCAAGCAGGAGGGACAATGCAGGAGCAGGTGAAACCTAGCAAGCACCTCTCAAAGGCTAGGCCTCGTCTTCCCTGCAGTCCCGGAAGGCTGACAGTGTGAGTGAGAGGGAAACTGAGGCTGGGGTCCCACAGCAGATGGTCCAGCGGTGCTGTAGTGGAGCAGGGACTCTGGGGGCTGTTGTCCTCTTACCCTTCTCAGAAGGCTGAGCCCCAGTAGGCAGACCCAGAAACTAGATGGAGTCTCAGCTCTTGGGGAGCAAAGTACAGGGGCCCAGAAAGCCTACAGTCAGCAGTTGTGAGAGGGGCTGGCCTAGTACCCACCCCCCGGGAGGCCTTGAGGCCCAGTAGATGTGCAGCTAGCCTGGAGCCGAGCATGAGAGGCAGGGCCTGGGTGGGGGTCTCTGTTTTCTCAAGTCTGCTCTGTCTTGCTTTCTCCCTGGCCTGCTCCCCTCTCTGCCTGCACCTGTCTCTCCCGGGGCTTCTGGTGCTGGAAAAGCTCGTGTCTCTGCGAAGCTAACGACCTCCCTCTGTGCGAAGCTTACTGGAGGCTGGACCGAGACTCGGACCCTGCCGATGGTCTCTCAGCGCCCCTGCAGGTGTCCCCAGAACCCAGCACTGGCCCTCTGCAGGCTGCAGCCCCTGGCCCCACAGAGCATGCCTGAGCCTCCAGGGCTCCCTGCCGGGTCCCCGACCTTCTCAGAAACAAAGGCCCCTACTGGGTAATGCCTGGGGACAGAGCCCCCTTGGGAGTCTGTCACCCAGAACTGCTGGGGACGACTCGTTCCCCAGATGTTTCTGGGTAGCACGTCCTTCCCAGTTACTCTCAGCTCTGCTCCCGGCCTCCCCCAGGTTGGAGGATGCTTCTGGGGGATTATCCTGTTGGCGACTCCACAGTTTGTGTGTTGGGGTAGGGGGCTGCCCAGGTCAGGCCTGCTGTATTGAGCTGCACCCACGGATCCTGGCAGAGCCAGAGCACGTTCACCCCCACTGTGCTGCCCTGTCCGTTCAGGTGGTGTATCGTGAGACTTGAATTAATAAAAACAGTGCAACCATCTTACCGGGATTCCCTTTTCTTCCTCGTCCCCAGACAGTCTGGGAACACTGTGGGCTCCCCCAGCACAGCCTGGGCAGCCATGGGCTCCCGAGTTTTCCTAGAGCCTGTCTGTCATTCCTTCCATATGAAATCTGTGGGCCCCGACTGTGCAGCAACAGACTTGGGGCAGGGCTGGAGTGAGTGAGGCTACAGCCAAGGTCGTGCAGGGCACCTGGTCTGGTGGCTGGTCCTCCCCGCCTCTCCTGAGCTGGGGCTGCCTTCACCTGGGGCCACAGGACTCGGGCTCAGAGGGGCTTCAAGTGCCCCAGGTCCCAGATCTCAGGACTGAGCCGGAGTCTCCATGCCGGGGCCCTGACTACAAAGCAGGTTACCAGGAAACACTCCCAGGTCCTGCGACCCCTGAAGCTCAGCAGACCTCCATCAGCCATGCCTGCCTTTGCTTGAGGGTCCTCTTCCCCACTGATGAGAGGGGAGACAGCGCCTCATGCCTTCAAGTAATCCAAGGAAGAAGGCTGGTTGGCCCAGACCCTGGAAGCCTCCAGAAGTCCGTTTCTGGGAGAAGGAAGGGTCAGCAACTCAATACTCCAGAAACTGCTTGACTTCTGTAAGTCCTCCTGCTCACCTCAGTACGGGGAGTTGTCATTCAGGGACTATCGCCTTGTATTTTGGTGTGTTTTTTTGGAAACTATTGTGAATTAACTGGAGCTTTACAAAGCATATCATCATTTTTACACTCAGCAAATCATATAGTGTGCTTCATTACAATAACTGCAATCCCCTCCATGTACCAGCAGTGCACAGCCGTGCCCTTCATTCCCATTCGCTCTGGCATTCCTCCCTGTGGCTCCTGCTACTTCATCTCTCCTCTGCCAACCTCTCTCTTGTGTATGACCTGCCCTGTCACCCGTGTTAGCGTGTGTCTACCCTCTAGCCCATGAATATTTTCCCTCCCTCCCCCCAGCAACCACCACAGATTGTTTCTTTTAAACCTTTTCTTAACTTTTTACTTTGGTCTCATACAACACTTGTTCTTTTGTGTCTGACTAATTTCACTCAATGTAATGTCCTCCAGGTTCATCCATGTTGTGAGATATTTTACAGATTCGTCATTATTCTGTGGTATTCCATTGTGTATATGTACCAAAGTTTGTTTAACCATTCTGTTGATGGGCATTTAGGCTGTCTCCATTTTTTTGATGTGTCTCTTGTAGACAGTGTATTGAAGGATCCTGTTTTCTTACCCATTCTGCTCTTAATATCTCTTGACTAGTACATTTAATTCATTTACATTCAGTATAATTATCAATAGGTATGAATCGATTGGAGTCCTGGTGTGGTGCTGTGGGTTCATGCACCTGACTGCAGAGCCGTTTGAACTGCAAGTTCGGCAGTTCAAGCTCACCACCTGCTCCTTCAAAATCCTATACAGGATCGCTATGGGTCGGAACCAACTAGGAGACAACTTAACAACAACAACAGTGAATTGATTGCTGTCATTTTTCTGTGTGCTGTTTTGTGGGCTGTTGGATGCTTTGTTCCACATAATTTTATATGTGAGTTCATTTTGTGAGTTTTCTTGTCATTTTCATTTCTGTTGTGTTAACGTTTACTAAATCTTTCTGATTTTCCTCTTTTTTTATTTTGATGTGCAGATGTATTATTTTTCTTTGAGGTGACCCTGTAATGTATTAATATTTTTCCTGTTTAAAACAGTCTGTTGTATCTTGAAGTCTACTTGGCTTCCTTGCTATTTGGAAGTTCTGTGTCTACACTACTCCCTCTGTTTACTTCACCGCTGACTTCCTTATACAGTGAGATCTCGTGTTTCGGAGGTTTGTTTTACTTGAAATACTTCTATAACTGGATTGAGTTCTGGATGGTGGGGTCATGAATGGTCATCTTAGATTGTTGTCTGTTATTGTTGAACACCCTGTAGCATTTGTTTTTGCCAAGTTGATCTGGTCATTACAAATTCCTTTCATTTCTGTTTATCAGGAAATGTCTTCATTTCACTGTAATATTTGAGGGACAGCTTTGCTGGGTATGTGATTCTTGGTTGGTAATCCTTTTCTTTTAGAGTTTTATATATGATAATCCATTGCCTTTTTTTCTTTAGCTTTTATTGTGAACTAAGTGATAGTTTATGTGGGAAACATTGGCTTTGTACTCATCCTATCTTATTTTGTTTCATTGCAATGATTACAATCCCCTCCATGTATCATCATTTAACAGTATTTGCTTCTATTCCCTGTCTTTTGAGGGGATGTACACAAAAACACTCAGGAATATGTAATCATTTAAACAACCAAAGGGCACATTCTGCAAACCTGCCTCCTGGCCTCCAGCATACAGCCTTTCTCTTTCAATGAGTCTAGAGTCCTCAGCTGCTCCCTCTCTCTGTGTGTGTCCTCATCTCTGCCTCCACCTCTGGTGTCGCTGCTTCTCCCTTGATGGGCCTAGGGTCCTCAGTTCCTGGAATGTAAGATTAACTACTCCCCCCTTTATGTTACAAAACTTCTACTTTTATAGCTGTGGCTATTGCCATTAGTCATGATAACAATTACTCACTATTGAATCATAACAATCTTATCCCCATCTCCTTTCACCAGACCCTATTCAGTGGGGATTCTACCTTCCCCCACACGCTATAAAACTAAACTACCTCTTGAAAACTTCTAAGCCAGCCACTTCGTGCCTTTA